GTTCCTCCAGGGAGCCTGCAGCAGCTACTCCTCGCGCTGGATTCTCCGAGAAAAAAAAAATTGTGTTGAACTTAAAAGAATCGTGTGCTTTTTCAGGTTGTGTTACCAGAGTGAACTCAGTGCTCGAAGGGACTAGACGCATCTTGAATCGTCCATCTTCCGGATCTCTCAGAAGTGAGTTCTGCTTCGTTTTTCTTTTTTTTTTTTTATGATACATCAAACGAGTAGCACGCATGAATTGTTTTGTCCGCAATCAGGAGACAGAGTGTATAAAACTTATTAAGTTCCGTTGCTCAAGGGGTTAATGCCGCAACCTTCAGTAGAAAAATTCGTCAAGATATGAGCCGCTTATGCTGCAATTGATTTCCACATAAATTACTGATGATCGCTTGATGGTTCATTTTCGTTCCAAGCGTTCAATGCATACACAGTGTTGATTCCTGGACATTTCTGCTTTGATAAAAGTCATGGAACTAATTCAAATGTCCTCTTGGTTGAAGTGCAGGGAAACTCAGTACTTCCGTCTGGCAATCAGTACCGAACGAGTCAAATTCCGTTCCGCTTCATTAACTACATAATCCGGCAGATTTTAAATCCATAGGTGATCCGTTATTCCTCAGACATACACCCTCTACCCTTCTGACACTTTCGAGAAAGTAGGCAGTAATTTGAAAGCTTGGCTACGCATAATCATCAAGATATTGTACCTGGCACGAAAAAAAGAACGAAATTTTATTCAGAGGCTTTTTGCGGCGCATAGTTGCCTATTGACCAGGGGGAAACCATTTACAATTCAGCACTTAATTTTTGAAGAGATTGTGATGCTAATGCGAAGTTTTTTCTCTCTTTCTTTTCTGGGCGTCGATTTTATCTACTTTTTTGTTTTGAAAGAAGCTGATCGACTGTTGTGTCCTCCTTACACTTATATGCGAGTACTTAGCTTGAAGAAATTCTCATTACGATGCTCGAGAGTAAAAGTAATGGAGCTTTTTAATTCAACCTGGATATTCATGAATTTCATCAGTCAATCGAATTTTCCATCCGTTCCTTTCCCGTGGAGCCTCTCCGGGGATCAAAGGAATTACAGTACAGTATTTACGACGTCGTTCCTCTCCTTTCTTTCCGATCAAACTTTTATTGCCTTGGTTCTTGAGATCCTGAGGATTCACAAGTTGACCCGGATCTTTCGATGACGATCCACGACTCGGAACACGTTTTTTCGGGGTCTTTTCCGCGCGTGTCAAAGGAAGTTGATGGGTCGGGTCTTGCCTTGGGAAGCTCATTTACGTGGGTCAGGTCGCAGGTGATGGGAAAAGATGAAAAATGTGGGACCGCTTGTGGTATTTCTCTGACGATGTGACTCGACACCCGACTGCTTCGCGATGACAAAGCTATGCGAGTCTCTTACCCACATCGTCGTCTTGGTGTGTCAAGTAATTTCCAGTCGATATTTCTGGGAAGTTCTGGGTTGTGAATGCATCGAAGACGGGTGAAAATAACCAGAAGCGCGCGCAGTAATGACAGGAGACACGAGGAGGGAGAGAGTGACCAGGAAAGGAATAGAAACGCTCGGAGGGAATGTTGAGGGAAATGGGTAAGCGCTCAAGTCGGAAGTATGGCTTCGTGGATTTTGAAAGTTGGTCAGTGGGATGCGACCGAAACCAGCGCCGGCAGCCCGCCTTGCCTTGAATCACGCCTGCGATGCGCCGCGCACGCATCTACTTTCCCACAGGAAATCTCGGCTCGGCCGCGCGGATACTTTCCCGAAATACGACACGAAATCTGGAGTCCGGAAAACTGCCGGTTCCGTTCTTCTCGGACACGGAGCCACACCGAGGCGACCCGACCAGGAAACCCCCTTTGTCCGGCGGCGACACAGAAAGGAAAAAAAGAGAGAAAAAAGAACAAGCCCTCCGTGAACTTTCTCTGCCCACATCCGGGGCTTCCACCGCTTCGCTTGTGCTTTCGCTGGGCTGTCCGTCGCAGTCCTTTTCTAGCAGATAATTTTTCTCCCAGTCGAGAGAACACCTGACTGGAAAGGCAATTAGAAACCGCCGCCGCTTTCAATTCTTACGATGACGTGCGCGTCGGAGACTGGGAAGAAAAGATCCGTCAATCCTCGCCAACTGCCTGTACAGCTCTTTTGTGCCAACAGCGCTTTCAAACCCCGTCAGAAGTAGCGGTTCAGCCAAGCGTGAATGTCTGCGTTGGCTGGAATCTCGACCCGAGGCGATTCATGACCGCCCAACTGAGCGTCGGGGACAACTGCACTTCTTTCTCCGCTTATACGAGACAACTCAGTCTGGAGTTTTCCAGTCATAAGGAAACAGGTCCACTCTGCTTAAAAAAAAGTGTTTGAAAGTAATTTTTGCATCAATTTCATTTGAGGAAAAATTAATCAAAGAAGTGATTCTCAAGTCCAACAATTCATCAAATGCGCCAGCCTCCTTCAGCTTTGCTCTGTTTCCTGTTTCTTACGAACATACTGTACATAATTCAATTTTTGAAGGACCATGTAAAAATAATAACTAGCTAGACTCCTTGATTTTGTAATCCTTGCTCCCGGAAAATGTCCAGCTTGAAAACAAATTCCCACTTCCAATGCGGCATTGCGAGTGGAATTATTTTTTTCGAACTTGATATTTTCTGGGAGCGGGGATTACGAAGTTTGAAGAATTTCGTTGATCTCGGTTGTGCACATTACGACTGATTTCCATTTAAAAAAAGAAAAAAAGAAGGGGATCCACCCTTAAATGCTTCATGCAGTGCATCTTTCGCGACGCTCAGTCGTCTCCGGCGCTCGGTTGACCGCCCCGCACTCGAGGGGTTGCCGCGTGCAATGAGCGTTGTCCTCGCATTCATTCGGTCTTCCCGATGAATGAACTTGCGCGCGGTTCATTTGCTCGCCGTGTAACAGTAATCCTCAGCAGTGCCGCGCCTCCGGGTTCTGAACCCACTCACCCCGGAGTCGCCTCATCGATCACGCCTGTCTCGCTGGCATCTCAAGTGCCGTAAACCTCGGGTGATTAGATTTCTTTGTACAAGCAACCCCTCGTCGTTTCCCACGATTCCGAACTCGAGCGCGTGATAATTCGGGCAAATGCGACAAGTCCGCGATTGCGCGCAATTACAACGCCGGAAGCAGTTGGAAATATGTTCTTCCTTGTCCGAGTGATTTACTGTACGAAAGCGCCGCTGTAAGCTTCGAGTTAAATGCGAGTGGTTTGTCTCGTAATTACCAAGATAATCTTTTTTCCGAGGTTCGTAGAAAATGTAACTGATGTAGCAGTTGTTCTAGAATCCGGAACACAGTTACGAGAACAACCCAACGTAAATCGCGTTTAATCACGCGAGGATCATAAATTGAGGACATGACGGCATTATTAAAACGTTCCGCACAACTTCGTGAATAAAATACACAGGTCGGTTACGAGCTGAGCAGTTACGCAGCTGATGGCCACGTAGAAAATCAGACTTTAATATAATTACTGTGTATTTAACTGTCCCTGTGCTTGTATAAGTGTGCCTAGCGCAGTTACAATATGAACCAATTAGCATCCATACATAGTGCTCTTGCAGAAAATATTATCTCTAAAATTCTACATGTTGCAATTAGAATCAGATTTGGGTCATAAAAAATACCAAAAATTCAGCCACTTTCAAGATTCAGTCAATCGAATTTCAAGAGCTCAACTCCTCATGTATCACTATACAAGCACTGACATTTTAATTCTTATACTGCATTAAAATAAATCAATGTTACATTAAAAAAATCGAATGCAAAAAAAAGTTTATCATATGCGTGCTCGTTTTCTTTCAGACGAAGAGATTTCACGCGTGTGAAGCACATGATGAATTTTCACGTTTAAAAAAAAGTGCAGGTTTAAATAACTAGAAGTCATGGACACCTCAGTAGTGTTTTGAACAAATATATATTATAGATCAAAGCCACAACGAATCTAAAGAAAAGAGAAAAAATACAGGAGGTCCAATCCTTGGAGAATTCAATGAGCATAAAAATGAAATCTTGAAGGAGGTTTGAGAGGATGAATTTAACGAGGAGGTTTCGGAAAAGCCGTGAAGCTGATGGGTTTTGAGGATATCGAATGATATCAAGTAATAGCCTCAGGCGGGAGTGCCACTTGCCAGTTCCGTTCGTCGATCGGGAAAGCTAAGACTCCTTAGCATATGTAATGGATGTCTGACAGCGGGGTTCAACAAACTTCTCACTCGGATGTCGGGAAGATCAATTAAATGACGTTTGTTTTTTTTCTCTCCTCTCTTGGCTCTCCTGTGGAGTGGCGGCGTTCCTGGGCGCAGGAATCTGGGGCGAGTGATAAGTTCCCGCCGGCCCGAGGGCAGAACCCGGCGTCCCCGTATTTCGCGTCTCGCGCCCTAGAAGTTAATTGATGAATTGGTTCCCCGTCGGCAGGGGGACGGTGTTTTTGCAGCGAGGAAATCCCGCGTTGCCTGAGGGGAAGTAACGGTGCCCGCGCGACTGGGAAATTTCCTTCGTCGGGGCTGATGACTTTACCGGCCCGATACCCTCTCGGATACGGGATATCGTCAGAGCCACTTGGTGCCGTGAATTGTGTGCACCAGCTGTCATGCAGCTTGTGCGTCCGAAATGATTCCAACCTGCTTCTTTGCCTGACGCATCGCGGCAATAAAGCGCTTAGTCCAGGAGGCTTTCACGGGAGATTCGTTTTTCCGTGATAGCCAGAATGATACAGATGGGGCCTCGTTTCCCCCGCTCAGCACTATTCGTTTTCTTGCTAAATGCTCGACGCTTATTCAGTTTATGTGAACGCCAGGCTGTCCGTAATTTGAGGCAGTTGCGCGGAGATGATGAGGAAATAAATCTCGGTGGACTAGGAAATCGGTTTACAGTGTTCGGTCACCATGCACCGACGGGTTCATTGCTGTTCCCGAGGGAAGACTCGTCCCATGTACAGTGGGTTCATGCATGGTTTGTGGTTTCTCGCAGGGGAAAAACCAAAATGCACGGAAAGCATTTCGCTCTGACCATTCTCCTCTTGCCCACCCTGGCGGCGCTCGTCTTGACGGAAGAGCCGTTAGCCGATGACCATCTCGTGAACAACGAACGGCAACTGCTACCCAACTTCCAGGGGCTTTCGTGGTTCAGACCCAACAATTTCCTGGCCAATCTCATTCAGAGAACGACCGTCAGTGAGTATCGGCTCACTTTTTGGCGCTAGCGCCGCGAAGTGTAACGAATCGGGGAACGGGATCTCGAAACCATAATCTCGATTTCTGCCTTTATCTAGGGCGAAGAGTCGGAGAAACCTGCGAGTTCACCGGTGACTGCTCTGCTGGCGTTCCCAATTCTGTCTGCTTCAATGGAACCTGCCTTTGCAACCTTGGCTACAAATACAACCAGGCTGATGGATCTTGCAAGGCAGTCGAAAGCTGCTATGCATGCCCCAACCGCGACGCTTGCCAATCTGGAACCGACGTTTTCTGCAACGGCACCTGCATTCGTGAGTATAGTCTCAATTTCTCCCAGAACTTTGAAGATCCGACTAATCTTGCCATAAGCTGCAAATCTAAAAAGTTTTCGAATTACAATATTGCCCAACTGCTAACGATACTTTTATACTCTGAAACCTTCCTGGAAAATTCACGGAACACAAACAATGTCACGGTTGACGGATCCCGAAACAAATAAATGTGTATGAAACAAATTCGTGAACGACTCATTCCGTTTTCTCAACTGCGTATGATGCGAATCAAATTTACGGCAATAAGGACAGCTAGTACATTATAACTGAGATTATGCAGCTGGTGACAGAATGCCCTTGCTCGGGAAATGAGCAGTTTGAAATTGTATTCCTCCCACAGACAATATTTTCTCGATATAACCTGACATAAAATCTCTCAAGTCTCAACGTTTTTAAAAATATTGAACTACTTTTCAGATTTTTAGTTGATACGGGAGACATGAAGCGAAAATTTTGAAAATTAGGAGATATACAGGCTACTTCCGTAATCTCTGAATAAATCAAAATTGTCAGGCAGGAGTCAATTAAATGAATGGTTAAGGAACACGGATGATCGGAGTTATTACAGTATCTAGTACTAGGCAATGATCGGGATTATAGTAGTTACAATCTAAATGATGTAACTCATCAAGAAGCTCATTAATAGGATGGACTCCCTTTAAAAGGAGGCCACAGACGACTTTGAATAGTGGCCATGAATATGTTTCTAAATGGAGCGCGTCCGGTTAGGCCCTCACTTAAATTCGGAGAATAAATTAATTCTGGGCTGCATGTTTTTGGCAGAGAATTTCAAGGCCGTCAGTGCTAACTCCAAGAGCGAGGTGATGAAGTCTCCCAACTGGCCGGCTGATTATTCTCCTGGACAAGACACGTTCTATTGTTTGGAAGCCGGCATTGGTCGCAAAGTGAACCTGCACCTGCACTGGATCGATCTGGAGACCCACTGCGGAGCAAAGTGCGACTTCATCAAGGTGCGAATTTTTGAATATTTCCCGGAGTCATTCCTTCAAAGTGAGTGCGTTGAATCCCTGCGTATGCGTGGGAAGCTAACCGCAATCAGTAAAAGTCTGCCAATCGATGTCACGAGTACCGAGAATCAGCTCACCGCGGGAATATCCGTGGGACAAAATTTGCGCATAATTTTATGGTTTTGGAAACGCATTTGTTCCATTTATCAAAGGGAAGAGAACTGCTAGCGTTACCGTTCCCACTGGGGTGAGTGTGAGCTCGTCCGTATGCTGACTGGCAATGCAAATTAGTTGTATACTCGGAACAGTCAGCTGGCTGCGGTTTCTTCCGGGCGCGCGATGCCCACCGACTCAATTGCGAGAACCTCGTGATGCTCTGTTGCACATCGAGAGCACTGTGGCAGCCCTTTAAATTCGGCGGCGAACTTCTTTTGTGATTTTTTTTTAGAATTATTATTTTTTTTTTTTAAGGTGTACGATGGCTGCGTTGCTCATGACGAAAACCTGATCGTGCTGCTCCATGGAGATAACTCCCGGTCGAACGAGTGCATGACATCGACTTGCAACAAGATGCTGGTCCACTTCCACTCCGACGCGGATGATGGTACAAAGGGCGACCAAAGATCCGGCTTCATGGGTCACTTCAAGGAGGTCATCTCGTCGAACGATAAGAACGCTGTTTGCAACCACTGTTACTAGTACCTTCCCGCTTTATTCTCGTTACCACTGTACTACCTAAGTCGCACAAGGTGCCCAGCCTCAACGCATAGTCGATTTGGATTAATTGACGAGTTACTCTTGTTGGACTTCGATTGACTGCCGTTGCGAGCTTGGCTGTGATCTTCCTTGATGCGGAAAGCCATGCGCTCCCATCGTGTCATCTTGCTCAAAAGTTTCATCGACTCCGTCCAGTGAACTAATATATTTATTCGATTATTTATTCGTGAATTGTTGGCGGCAATCTATGTTCGACGCGCTCTCCAACTTGTTAGTGGAACAAGATTGACTTGGAATAACAAAAGAAAAAAAAACCACAAATTTTCAGAGCTGTCGTTTCATTCATTCACCTCGTTTATTTTCAGGTCGCGAAGCAATCCGGGCTTGGGATGTAGATTATGTCGACCAAATTTGTATCCGTGTAAAATTTTCCTGAAAGTATTTTCGTCTGAAATTCACAGGGCCTTGAATGTCATGAAGCCTTGAAATCTCACGCCAAAATCATTCGATAAAATTTTTTGCTAAAAATAAGTTCATCGCATGTCGTTCCAGCTAGATTTGAAAAGCGTGAAAATGGCTTAGTTATATTTCTCGCAATAAACTAATGCTCACAATATTCGCAAGTCAACTGATGAAACGGTTAATGATTGATTAAGTGCAAATTACAGTACAACGTTGAATCTTGCATCACTAACAGATTTCAGCAAAATTTCCAGAATTAATTCTTAAAATTCAGGAATATAAAAGTAGAATTAATTATTTTTCAAGCGTTAATTTTAATATATACTGTAAGCCTGAAAGTATACATGAATGCAGGAAATAGACGAATCTGATGAAGAATGGATCGAAGAAAATTTTACGAGTCTTACTGGAAGTCATAAGTCAAAAATTCGTTCTTATTTAGAATACTTTTTCTCCTCAATGAAAATTTTCAGAGTGATTTAATAACGAGAAAAAAGAAATGCTCGTTATAGCGGAAATATAGCCCGTCAAAAATATTTATTGTCGACAACAGCAGTATTTCGCCAATGTCGGATGCTTTCCTCTGATACAATAACCCAATCCTTCGTTTTTCGTCATTTGAATTGAATCCACCTGGAAGAAACGTAATTATCTTAGAAGGAAATCTATTGTTTACAATCGTGTTTTTTTTGTTGCGTACAACAAGTCGAAGAAGCGAGTTGGTGACGTCGTTTTCGATGATAACTTTGAAACCCACATTATCCGGATTTGCAAGAAAGGAAATCAAGTAGAAAGCAATATCATCAGTTCCAGTTGTGTTCTCTGTGATATGAAAACGTCAGAGTTGAACTTGAAGTACTCTGAAAAGGATTGAACTTACCCGAGCCCTGTGTTTTCACTACCTTGTAGTGCTGTATGGCGTGGAGTGTCCAGTTGGTGCACGGGAAACTGATCGGATTTGCTGTCGTCGTAGCTTTCTTCTTTTCAGCTTTCATGAATTTCGTGAGGACGTGCTCATTTAGCTGACGTATGCTTTGTTCTGTGACGTTTCGTATCGTGTCGAACGGCACGCCCTTGTCAATTTCTCTCAAACACCCGCAGTAATTAGCTGGGATTCCGGCTGTTCGACACGTACGATTCATTGGTACGGTGGTGAACAAGCTGTAGCCGGGCCATCGACGAATGTAAGTCTCATCAATTCCTTTCAACGCATGTTTCAACGTCGCGTGTACGTCGTATAGCGTCACGAGACGATCGTGAGCATTCGATCGCAATGCTTTCATTTGCTCGGGAAATTTTGAATCGAACCACGGAGGTACGAGCATGAACACCCACGGAAGTCTCTGGTCTAACATGCCTTCCAATACAGTTTCGTTGCGGAGAACGTGGTTTCCGTGATCGGACATGATGATGACGATGGTGTTATTACGCACTTGGTCTGAATTCATCCAAGATTCGAAAAAGCCTTCCAGCTCGGTGTCAATCATATTCAGTTCCGTCAAGGACCCATGGGTGTAGGTCATTTGATTGAAGAAAAAGAATTTATTTTCCTGCTCATGCTGCTTCCACCAAGATTGGGCAAGGTTTTGTGCATGCTGTAAGTATCGAAATTCGATTCAAGAAAAAATCAAAGATTCTGAACTTTGAATGAGATGAAATTAATCGTTTAGTTTACTGTGTATTCTGTCCCGTAATCTCGCATTAATTTTGCATTAAAAAAGCGTTATACTGTACACCGTTAAAAGCTTACAAACCATTGCCGGGGATGGAGCAGAAAATAATTGAAAACCTTTCCCAAGTGGAGCTCAATTGCAAAATAAATTAAAGTCCACATAAATAATCAAGCCAAAATATGCAAGCGACGAATTCTAGTTATTGAATTGGCACGCCCTTGGAGCTTTTTGACTGCAACAATTGATCGATTAGAATTAAGAACCGCTTTGCACAGTCAATTTTTGAACGGAGTATCTGTCCAGAAAAAAAGCACGAAAGTATACAGAAAATTTTTTTCATGACTTACTGTGCTGGATCTCAGATTCCCAATGCACTTCGGCGAAGGTTTTTTAAATAGCTTGAACCTGTTGCACATGAATGGCCGAGAATAATAGTGAGCTGGTGGTTTCCTGAAGTTCCTGATCATCCAATACTTCCCAGGATCGTTGAAGATGGAATCGTATGCGTCAATTACCTGAAAATCCTCATAAAAAGCAGTCACATAACCCGACCGCAAGTAGTCCGAGATCAACAACGGTGGCAAATCGTCAACGTGCAAAGTTTTGGCTTTCGTTGGTTCCAACCATTCCGCGTGATTCATGCCTGTGTCCACGAAGGGATGAGTCAGTCTCGCAATAGCGCAGGAATGTTCTGGATCAGGATAGAGAGGAATTACGCACTAGCGACATCTAAAAACGAATTTTTCATATCTTGATATTGAATTAGTTATGTTGAGAGACGGTGAGTCTGGTTACTCTCTAGGTTTGCTGGAAATTTTTCCGCGTCTTCGGTCATCCGAACACTGTCCATGAATAGTTCGTGTCTCATTTGTAGATGTCGCTACCGCATGCACCCACGCAGTTCTCTCAACCTAGAGTACAGTACTGTACTGTACTTGATGAATGTGGATTACAAACCTGTCCAAAACGGAATCATGTTGGGTAGGCTATTCCTTCCAACAGTGTTGAAGTTGCGGAAAAGAACTCCGTCCGTGGAATTCGTGAGATAACTAGCTGCTTTTGGCACATTGCGGAGAAAAAAACTGGAGGAGATCCCATCGAACATCCAGACGAGAACGTTCAATTCCACTTTCGGCGGCAATTTATGTTCCTGCCGCAGTGTTTCTGTAAAATCCGGAGTGCGATTCGTTGACGTAGTCACAATGGCTGGATTTTTCCTTGCGGCGTAGATAACTTCTGCCCACCTGAGAGGAAAAAATGTCCTTCAATATTTTATCGCGAGCATGAACACTTCCGCCCTACTTTTCTTCAAAAATGTGACCTCGTCGTTGAAAAAGCCGTACCATTTTTTCTGACCCCACTCCACCCTGCTTTTTCATACACAGTACAGTACATGTATTGATCGCATAATCAAGTCTAAATATTTTTAATGCTCCCAAAAACTGGGATGCGAGCATGCAACCCATGTGGAGGTCCTCGCTTTTAGTTTTCTACAGGAGCGTTTAAGACTTTTCAGATGTTTAGCGCTAATTTACCCTCAGGTGACTTATTAAACATTACAACAACCGAATTTTTTCCCACTGCATAATGCACATTTTACCTAATTCTGACCCCCTCTGACTCAATCTTATAGTCGTTGTTCTCACAATTTTGATAGATCCTTATAATTGGACAAATTTTTCTCCATCGGTTAAAATTCTCATATGGTGGTGTCCCGTCATGCAACTTTTTCTTATGACTTCCTTTTGTGTGCAGCCACAGGTTGCTGCACACGTCTTATCTTGTATAGTCGAGGGAATACAGTACACTGTTGGGTACATCCCGAAAATAAGCCCATGTTAGTTCCAAGAAGCACGAAAAGTCAACAGTCGAACTGCTGTGAGTATATTTTACTTATATTTAAAGAAATTACCAGTCCGCCAAAAGATGACAGCACAGATGAGTAGTCCCCTTTCATTGCAATATCAGTATAGATGGAGTGCCATAGTTTGCGAAAAATATTATACTTTAGTTGATAGAACGGATTCTCACTCTTTTTGCGATGACGAATTGCGGCATTTGACTTGCAAGACATCCGTGAACCTCAAGCTGTAGGAAGAATTGCTCATGACGACCGGCAGCATAATGTAATAACCCTCTTCCATCCGCAAAATTTCTTCAAGCAGAATTGGGATCGGATTTTTAGACCGACGAGAATGATTTTATGAATTTTTTTCTAATAATGTCACTTACCAGAAAAGTTGCAAGTGACTTGATCACCCACACTATTCAATATTACAACCTTATCGCCGAGAATAGAGATCCAAGAGCGAAACTCAGAACAGTCCGGATGTTTCCTGGGGAAGGACTTCCTGTAACTCTGAAACACTTCTCCCCAGAGCGGTAATCTGAATTGACTGCAAGCTATGCGAATTGAATCGGATATTCTTGGATACGAGAATAAGGTTTGCTTGGATACCCAAATATCATCCTGTGTGCGGAAATTTCTCCGTAAATACAGCCATTTTGCCAAATTCATTCCCAGAATGACTAAAAGCAAGCCCCCGGAAAGGTGTGTGATCCTTTTTACATTCTGAGCTCGCAAAAATTTTCTCCTGTGAAACGAAAATTTCAGCTCATCACATAATGAATGTACTGTATAAACTGTCTTTGATAAATGATGAGGCTTCATTATTACCTCATGAACATCTTTCAACCAGCGATTTTTTTCTTCTGAAAGTCACGACGATTTTATTCACTCAAGAGAAATCGATGCGTTAATCTCAACTGTGACTGCGTATAATGATGCCCAGAGGAATCGTATTTACTCGTATTTCCCACGATAGGGTACAGATATTTCTTGTGAAGATTCCCATTCCTTATCAAAAATACAAGACGAGACGTACATCTCATGACGAGAGGGTAGTTGAACCAATATTAATTTTCTTGGTAAATAATCCGATATGCTCTGACCCGCACTTCCATGTGTTCCAAATAAATGGGAACTGCGTTCGGGCTGATGATGAGTAATATTGTATTTGTATGAGTAAATTTTTTCGAAAATGATTTTCTCCTTTTCTGAGCGTTATTCTTTAAAGCCCAGTGTTACATTTTCTGAACTGTTTCTAGATTTAGTTAAGCGTTCACAGTTAATGGAGCAGATGCTGGAGCACAATACGGGACATTTTTCAATGTTTCAATACTTCATTTCATGAGTTTCGTAGATACATGATTTCCACAACAAAAAATGTATCCGGTTTGACTTCTAGAACCTGACTCAACTGTTCTTCCGTGTCTTTATCGGTAGGAAATGCAGTGAAAAAACTGAACTAAACTCCAGAAACAGCAGCGTGTACAGCGATAAAACTCTAGACAGTCTTCGAAAGATGGAAGCTTCGTGGTATTTTGAAACTCTCCTGAGCAATGTTTTTAAGAAAACAGAATCGCGATCAGATGATCTTTTTGTATCGCTTTCGAAAGCAGTTTTGAATTTGGCCGCATTCTAATTCCGAGAGTGTTGATTTGACATATTTATCCGTGCCTGATGATGGATGTTGTGAAATTAAATTAATGCTCTGTCTCTTCATTCGATGCGTAGTGAATATAGGTTCAAATGTGGAGTCGAGTTAAATGGAGAGTGGTGGCGCTTGTCGTCATTCGATTATCCTTGTGCCGGGCAGCTCAAGTCAATTTGTCCGCGAAACGGGTCATTGACGCCGATCAAAAATTCGTTTCCCTTCTCGGTTTCGATTATACTCCGAAGACTCACTCATCATTCACTGCTGCATTTAAATGCGAGCAGAATGCCGAAATTGAGGTTCCTTCCGAAACGTGCCGCATTTTGGAACGAAATCGCAACATGATTCACGACGTACCACTGGAAAAAAACATGTTTTCGAATGACGAAGGAGACTGTGAGGCTACGATTACGACCGAAAACTCCCAGCGATCATCGAATGATTCGTTTTGTAAATTTCAACAAAAGTGTTCGGAAATCGTCAACGATACAGAATGTCACAACTGGAACACTTCTTCACTCGGCGCGCTGACGTATTTAGGTATTGTATTTAAATTTTGCATTCAATTTCGATAGTCTCATGAATGTGAAATAATGTTAAACAATGAATACATCCCTTAATCCTTTCAACGTTTTGAAAATTGGCCGGCAAATTGTGCAAGAAATCCCAAAGGAGAGTCAGAACTGGGTCAATTTTTTCACATCTGTAGCTTATGTTTTCTCTTTTCGGGGAAGACATTTTGTAGTTCAGGTAAGGATTGGTGAAACTCTCTGAACTAAATCGGAGATTCACTATAACCCAACCCCAAGATCCCAGAACAAATAATTTTCATCAGGCGTCTAATTCAGGTGGAACCTTGCATTATCGAACTGCTGGTTGGCATACAGTGGATATCCTCGCTGACGAAGGAGACATGTTGAACCTGACTTGTTCCACATATGCAAATGCATCATTTATAAACGATACGTGCAAGTGGGAGCAATATCCGCCATTCGTCGTTTCAAAAGTCAAAGATGAGTCGCATAATTTTTCGGCGACGCACATTCTTGGGAAGCAATGTGTCCTCACCATACCCGCAGTTTCGAGAAAATATGTTGGGACTTGGACTTGTGTGACAAACGGTTCCCATGGGACGACGCAGAAAGGGTCTATAACGCTAGATGTGACATGTACTTTTCCAATAATACTATCACGGAGAAGTCGGATTGATATCTGCGTGCGTGAAGATGCCTTCAGGGATTTCAAAGCATGTCTGCAAGAAATCAGAGAAGGAACTGGATCGATTGAATATCAGTGTTACGACGATGCAATCACTGAGGCTGTTAACGTGTCTTGGGTTTTTTCGAGGTTAAATGGTAAGCATTCTTCACAGCATATTCGAAATTACGCCTTAATTTATCGACTGCACGTCTCCAGTGGAAAAATCAACTTCCTATCCGAAGAGCTACCATCAGAAAATTCTCCTGCATTCATCTGACAGTCCTGAAAATATATCAACGTTATTGATCATTAAACCGTCGATTCATGAGAATGCCGGGATATATTGCTGCGTCATCAATCAGCGTGAAAGCTGCTTTTCGTTGGAAATCGAAGGTTTGCAATTATTTATCAGCATGAAAAAAACTTGATCGACTAAATCGCGAATGTATAAATCGCTTACGCGAGATAGACAAGAAGTTTCACCTGGCCAGCAGTTTTAAATGGGGAATATCTTCATATCATTTGTGCCGTTGTCATTATCGCTTTCGAACTTGATATTAACTGAATTACTTATATTACTCTTTTTTTTTCTAGGTAAAAGCTCAAACAGCAATTACAGTGTATAGAGATCAGAAGAAAGTTTCTGAATATTCCATACAGCTTTCTGCAAATCAGAAGAGTTTCATTTCACAAAACCCTGTGCGCAGTCAAAATTGATATCTTGGTGTTTCTGCTGGGTGTATTTTTGCCTCGAAGTCTATGAGCTATAGAGCTATTTCTTTGAATGGATCGGTTTTTGTTGAGTTGTTTTTATCCTTAGCCCTCGAATGATTTTTCAATTAAAGAAAAAGTGAGTTTATATAGGAATTATCGTATCAACAAATGTCATATTCGGATCTGCTCATCATTATAAGATGAAAGGTTAAGCCGAGAATTCTCCGAGCACAATCTACGGATGTGATCTAAAAAATTATCTGAAACAAGCAGGAAATATCACAGTCATACGTGATGGAGTATTGGAAAACGATGGCACCAACGGAGACCATCATTTGCAGCCAAAAGCTGACACGGATCCAGTAGAACGTGACATTGAAGCTGGACTTCTACTCGCCGGACTCTTCGGATTCGTACTCCTGATGTTTTTGTTTTTAGCCCTCTGCAACGTGCTAAACAGGGGAAGTGCAAAATGCAATGCTTTCAACGAAGGAGACGACGGTCTGTGATCCGATTTTCATTTGCTGTATTTTCTTGAGCAAATTTGTTGAAAATACTTTACAATCGGCTTTCAGCATCTTTCGGTTCGCAAGATTCTCTGAGGCAATTCCAGCAGCTCGTCCAGCTGCTGCACGAAAATGATCCAAGGACACAGATTTCTCCTGCTTTGATTGCATCAACGGATGGTCGAGTGTCCTCTGAAGCTCCTCGGACAGTTGGTATCACCCATGCGCAACCCAGGTCGTCTTCCCTCTCGGGTGCGCATAGAGCCCCAAGGCGGAGTCTGAGTACCGTCGCTGAAGCTGACAAAGAAACGGACACCGAGGCTGACGAGAGAGATCCCAAGGAACAATAAATTGACAACTCGAATGCATGCATCGGAGCGAGAATCTTGAATTCCACTTGCATTTCATATGAATTGTTCATGTAATGAGTTTAAATTCGATGATCGCGATATTGTTGGAGTGATCATTTTTTGACTGAATTTTGAGAATAAACGAAACAATTGTTGACGCATGATTTATATAGCATGAGTTGGAACTTCTTCTTGGGATTCGTTATGACTGAGTCAGAATTAGATCTGGCATGAAAATTCCATTTTCTTCATAGTTTGCCACCAAAAAAGAAGTTAATTTCTTGGGTATTCCAGGGTATTTCTCTTTCTTGCACCTTCTCCCGCTTTTTCGAGGCATCCGTATTACTGTTCATCATAAACTACGGAAATATTGCGTTCTTGGGTCTAAAAGTTAAGTCGAGTAAACCTAAACATGAACAATACAAAAAAGCCTCACACTAAAATTGCTGTATTTTCTACTTTTTCATTTCAGATTTCTTCGACTCGTACACTCGCCCTTCCAAGAGAATAAAAAAGGAGAAAAGCGTTACTGCGTCTGATGATTGATCTGTTCAACCGTAAAATTTAACAGGGATGTGCTGCTATTATACTTCACAAGAGGCTGATTTCTGCCTCATCCCCTGGAATCTTACTTTTCGCCGAACGAATAGCCGAAGTATTCCCAGAAAATCTGTAAATAGAAGGAATTTTTACTTACATCTGAATAAGGAGGTTTCGTATGACAGTGCTTTTCGTCTTACGGGGATACCTCAAAATAAAGTTATTCTAAATCGTCGGTAGACGATTAATACTAAATCGTCATCACCCTTTTTTATCGGGTACATACACAGTAATTCAAATATCCCCGCTGATCATACCAATGCACGTAAAATCATGAAATCGGAAACCCTCGAAATGAAATCGCGTGATCTCCATGTTGAAAATCTGCAGTATCGTAATTTAGCTCATGCATGAGATGTGTCTTGCATTTTTTATAAACTTGTTTCTTGTCATCTTGTGTTTCATGTCTTGAGATTCTTCAAGTCATTAAAGCATGGATTATAAGAACGTTAGCTTGACTTCATCATATCTTATTAAATCATTCCATGAACGGTGCAAACGTATATAGCGAACAAACTCACGGATTCCGGCTGTCCGAGACCTGATCAATCATTACAAATACCGTGACATATCATACTTTCAACAGGGTGGAAGAAAAACTTCTTTCACTGCTGCGTATGAAGTACAATACCGTGTTTTCGTGTTTCTTGTATTGACTGGTGGGCATATTTTTTGGAGAACAGCCGAATTCTAAATTAGAACTTTTCTCAGCTCTTCGAAGATACAGGCTCATAAAAGCACCGCGTCGATGAATTGGATCGAGAAAAATGAAGGTACTTCCTGAATCTACCGCTTTGATGCACCCGGTATATAACGGCCAATTTACGACGGGCTCCATAGTCAAGAACGATTAGAGGAACATCCACGGCTGCTAATTTTGCTGAACAAGGAATAATCACACACAGAAAATGACACTCGATGTACCCGCGGAAATAAAAGGGACTTCTGCTGAAAGACGTTCGTAACTTGTGCCTGAGTATACTAAGCAGTGGCTGCGTGAACTTGTGACGAAATTTTACTGCTCGACATTTTTCGAACATGAGGAAGCTGACTTTGGTGAGAATCTGATTTTCGGTCACCGGAAACTGCCGAAAGTATCTAACTAAAAAATAATGTACGTCCTAAAAGATATTGCTGATGAGCTGCAGCGTTGCAGTAATAAGAGCCGATTTACGGGATACCTTCCACTCCATCTCGAAGCACCCCTTGGGTCATTATATAACATACGAAGAAGCACTGCAAAAAAAATTGCTCAAAGGCAGCCCAGAAATATGCGTGGGTGACGCGAGCATGCCAGGTAAATTTTCACTTGAAAGCTTTATATATTGCACTTGGTATGATGAGTATAATAAATGCACTATGTAACAAAAATAATTAGGTTCAAGTTCCGCCTACGGTTGCTGCATGGGAACGGATGCTAACTCTCCGTGCTTCTTCTCCACGCCTGAAATGTCTACCCTGCTGAAAAATTTCCTGTCGAGGCCTCTGATACAACCACTCGATGACCCTCTCACATTTTTGTCAAATGACATCACCCCGTATGTTGCGCAGAGATTCAAACGGTAAATATATTCATGTCTTGGACAACTTCAAAATGTAAATATGGCATTTTGTGACAATCTTGCAGAGACACGAGCAATTCTACCTCCGTGAAGACCAAAAGGCACGATCGTGCCGAAGGGAATAGGTTTCGGCAAGGTAAACTGGGCGGGTTTGGATTTCGAGGGAATGGGGAAGAACAGAGACGCGGACACGATGATGACAAAGAAGACAGGGACGATGGAGAACACAAGGAAGACGGAGAACACAGGAAAGATGGAGAACGCAAGGGACATAGAGGACGCCACGAACACGAAGAACACAGGGGAAATGAAGAAGAGGACGAAGTAGAAGAGGAAGGCGGAGTACAAGAAGAGGAAGGCGGAGGAGACGAAGAGGAAGGCGAAGCAGAAAACGAGGAAGGCGAAGCAGAAGAAGAGGAAGGTGAAGCAGAAGAAGAGGAAGATGCGGTAGAAGATTCCGAAGATGAAGGACAGGAAGACGAGGGAGGCGAAGGATACGAAGAATCAGAAGAAATTGTGGAAGAATCAGCAGAAAACACATATGATTATGAATCAGAGGGATCCGACAGGGGTGGCTTTGAAGATGAATTGAATCGTCATGGTCGGAGCTTCAAGAAAAATTTCCGAAAGTGCCACAGTAAAGTCAATCACGAATATGAACACTGGGCAAAGCAGGCAACAAACGCTTTACAGGAAGCGCCTGATGGATATTCTCCTAGATTTTTTGAACTCTGCCCTGTCAAAACATCTGTAGTGTATCCTAGAGAAGCGCAATCGTGCGATGCCTCAGAAGGCACAGACTGGCTTCGAGCCGTTCCTGTGCTGCAATGTCCTGGAGCTTACATGCCAATAGAGATTGTGGAGTGCGACTGGAGCTTGGTCGAAGTAATTTCTCAGTTCATATGTGGGATTCGCTGCGTACAGGTCAGCATAGTATTTCTGATTCCACGCTTATCGTCATTATCTTTCTATTTCAATTATTCATCCTCGTAAATCGTATTTCTGTTTGCAGCAATACTCATTGGTTCAAGTGATGTCTCAAGATCCGGAGAGTTTAACTATGCGATGGCCTTTTGTCCAACGGGCTTCGGGGTGTGCTGCATTCATTGATTATGACGGTGTGATTACGGAATCAGAAGGAGAGAATGATGACAACAGCAATGCCGATGAAAGTGAAAATCTGGAAGACGATGACGAATCCTCTCCAACAGAAGAAGGGGCGGAGGGTGATGAAAACGGAGATGTATCTGAAGATGAAGGTGGATCTCATGAAGGTGAATCTGAGGAAGGTGAATCTGAGGAAGGTGAATCTGAGGAAGGTGAATCTGAGGAAGGTGAATCTGAGGAAGGTGAATCTGAGGAAGGTGAATCTGAGGAAGGTGAATCTGAAGAAGGTGAATCTGAAGAAGGTGAATCTGAAGAAAGTGGATCTGAAGACGCTGAAGATGAAAACAAGGAATTACCAGAGGAAAATGAATCGGAAGTGGAATCTGCACAGGGAGAGGGAGCATCAGAAGATCGGGAACCTGCGAGTGGCGAAGGCGATACGGCCGAGGTTAGCAATGTTAAAGTGAATATTTCCATGGAATCTCCTGCCAGTTTTCCGGGAGAACTCCCGGAGGCAGATGATTCAACTCACATCGTTCTTCCCATTGATTATTCATCAGTGAATCGCAGGAAGGAAGCTAAATTCTTCAATGACGATCAAAGGCAACGGGGAAAATATAACTATGACAAGGATTTTATTGCTGATCGAGGAAACCCGAAGATAATTGGGATAGGTGCGCATGGATTTCCGCTCAGGTTTTCTTCAGTACAGCTCAATCAACAGCCGGATACTTCATCGATAAACCGGAACGTCGAAGACGAGTCCAAGGATAAAAATGGAACACAAATAACCGACAGCAACAAAGATGTCAACAGGGATTTTGTGAACGTAGTTGGGGCTACAAAAGAAGTTCGTCCGCCACTCCTCTCTACTATGAACGAAAATTCATTTATCTTTCCAACATTTTTGAATAACGAGGATGACAAAGAGGAGAAAATTGAATTTAGAAATGAAAATTCTAGTCAGAAATTCCCTACAAAGCTTGAATTACCGGTTAGTGACCCGTTAGCCTTGAATCGAGAGTGGAAACCCTCTTCAGAGCTAAAATATGATGAAATGGAGCACATGGATAAGGATGAAATAGGGTTTGAGAAAAATGAAAAAGCGGCTAAAATTATCTCTGAAATAACTGACACAACAAACTCCAAGACTCCCCCCGATTTTTCTCAAATAATGGACCTCAAGCAGAATTCCCAGAAAAATGACGAAAATCAAAGAGAATTCAAGGTGAGCAACCGCAATGAAAATCCAGCTCAGGATTCCTCAAAATTCGGCGATGCACTAAAATTTGGCTCCCCGTCCAAAGTTTTTCCCCCGACAAATTTTCCCTTGACCTCAGAGGATGAAAAATCGGCTCAAATTATCGCCGAAATAACTGAAACAACAAACTCTAAGACTCCCCCCGATTTTTCTCAAATAATTAACCTCAAGCAGAATTCCCAGAAAAATGACGAAAATCAAAGAGACAGGGGGGAATTCAAGGCGAACAACCGCAATGAAAATCCAGCACAGGATTCCTCAAAATTTGGCGATGCACTGAAATTTGGCTCCCAGTCCAAAGTTTTTCCCCCGACAAATGTTTCCCTGACCTCAGGGGATGAAGAAACACAGGAGAAATATGGATCACGCTTGGCCGAAGGAGTTCAAAGTTCTGCTCGAGATCCCGCAAAAGAGGCATCCAAATTACCCTTTACTGGCACACGTACCAGTTTTCAATCAAAATTCAATCGTGGTGGGGATTCCATTGATGAACCTACGAACCGCGAAGAAAACCAATCGGGGAGAAAATTTGGTCGGCAAAAAAATAATTAGGTTAATCATAGACACGATAAAAGCTAGAAAAGAGTTGGAAATTGCACGGAAATCAGACAGACGAATTCCCAGAAATCACGCAACTTATTATGGAAAATATGTAGATCCTGCGTTCTGGCAAGATTAAATTTATTTTCGCGAGAAGTCTTTCGAATATAAGAGAGCACATGATTTTTGTTTGTTTCTGTCTGAAAATAAAGTACTACAACGCGATGTTTTATCTCCCAGTGAGTTGGTTTCTTGATATTAAAAATACTCCTCTATGCATTTCATCGCAATTATAATCAATGTACTCGTCTGTGTACACGTACATGTCTTGTATGATATGTGAACGTCACGCTAGTTTATTCTCTCTTTATCATTCGTCAGCCAAAACTTCGATTCACAAAATGCAAGTGAATGCCGTCAATTAGAGACCAGCAAAAAGATCGATACAATCAGTCAAGTACATCATAAACTCTACAATATGTTCTCGTAAGGCCGTAACGCGCTGTGTCCTTGTGACCGCATGCATGTATGATAAATATTTTACAAGTACACATACAGTACTGTATTTGATGATCAGGGTTTACGAAAGAATAACTCAAGTTTGGGCTCAAGTTTCCTGCATTCGTCTCAAGGCACCAAGCTTTCACGGTCATTTGAAATGACAAGAAAAGTAACATTCAACACGATTTCACATTTCACACGTTTGCAAGCGTCGAAAAGCAATGAGAGTTCTCTCTTGACGGGAGAAGCACAGGACATGACTTAATCAGACTCGCGCATTGTTTTCCCCGAAGTGAAACAAATTCCCGCGTCTAAATTACTCAAGCGCTAAAAAAGATGTGGTCATGAGCCAAAATCCGGTTTGCCCATTAATTGACGTGGACCATGGCACGCTGAGAAACTGACTTTTTTCTGAACGCCGCATCAGGGATCACTGAGACAAAGCACTTTCTCCACTGCAGTATAGCAGGGGTTCCAATCCCTAACCTTCACGTGAAATTAAACCGTGAGCCCCAAGTACACGAATAAAAAAAATCGACACTCACTTGCGTTCCACCCAGAAAACGAAAAAAAATCGGTCCCACCAGTCATTTTCATTTTTTGAAAAATGTAAAATAATCTTCAAGGCTATCCGAGTGCATCAATGTTACTCGTACGTTGGGGGCTAGCCAAAGGATCTCGAAGTACAGAAACAAATGCGCGAATCCATACACCATCACTTGAAACATCCGTATTGAAAAGTTCCTCACCATTACACAGCTCCGTTGAATCAATTAAATTTGTCCGCAGCTTTCAATATGAAAGATATTCAAAACGTACGTATGTCCACTATTTCCCGGTGATAACTGCTGGTTCGTTTACAACTTGAAAATATCCACTTCGAAATGCAACGTGGAGAAGTTGTGCACAACGGATGATCTTGGTCGTTTATATAGATATCTGAGAAGCTCAACAATCTCTGAATCCATAGTTCAACATTGTCTCAGGACGGAAAGATAAGATTTGTGATATGTAAACTAGAACAGGAAATCATCGCAGAATTCTTCCGCCGAATTCCCGAAATGCAAGTTTTTCCACTTTTTCCCACGAAGTAGATAAGTGGCTCAAATATTCCGTGTGCGATTGCGGCTTCCGAGTAATAAAGAGGAACAGCTAAGTGAAACAGACCAACGGGAAAGACTTGTGACGGATGGATTTTTGGGATATTTCGATCATTAAGCTGATCAAGGAATGTTTTCCCGCTCTCGAAAAAAAATGCAACTACACGAAGGGGGGAAAAAAACGTTCGCGAATCCCGGAACGAAAATAAAGATTTCAAATGAAAGCTTTTCTCCACTCTGAAATCAAAGCTTTTGGCCTCTCTTTGCTTCTTCGATCCCGCGCTTCTTGTTATCGCTTGTGTTGGATGTGGCAAGAAGTCAAGACTGAAAGCATTTCGCTACGTGTACCCGTCCAGCCTAGTTCGGCTTGTTGGCAGGGTTGACAGAATCACGCGATTTGGAAGCCTCGTCGGCGTCATAGGCCTCGATATTGATGACAGTCTCTGGTTGGAATGCAGGATTATCGATCCCCCCGCTCTGGTCGGATCCCGTGGATGGGTCGGGCTGCTTCTGCGATGAAACCAGATTTGGTTGAGCCAAGGAGGAAATTTGTCGCTGGGAAACGCTGTGGCGTCGTCGCTGTTTCTCGCTCGTGGACAGCCGGAAGCTCCCGCGGAATCCCGCTGCGCTGCCGATGCTCTCGCGTCGACGGAACAAGTCGTACGCCTCTTTTCGTTTCTCGTCTCCGCGCATACCTGCGTTTGAAAAACATTTCGCCCAAGCTCGAATTAGAGGAAAACACCGAGATATTTCAACGCTAACTAATGCTTTATTGCTAAAAAGAAAACAAAACGAAACAAGGAACTATAAGAACTCCAACCACAAATATAGAATAGCTAGAGAATAACACGTATTTGAGCTTCTCATCTCCCCCATGGGACGGCAGTCTCACCATCAAACTAATCTTCCACTTGAGTTCAGATAATAAGAAGACAAATCAGAATCTTTTAATGTTATACTGATGAAACCCTCATTGCTCAGCAACACAAAAGCTTTAAATTCCCTCACGGGATGATAGTATTATGGAAACGTTTTCTTTGGGCCTTCTCAACCATACGCGCAAACATGCGTTATAAAAGCAATAAATTCCGCTCAAATTCGAATTAGAGCACAAATCATGATAAATCAAAGCTAATGATCCCCTTATTGCTCAATGAAAACAACAAGCTTTGAACTCGGCAGAGAAAGAATAGCACGAGAACAAAGGTTTCTTTTTTCTGATATTCCGCAAGAGCCTGAGTTAAACAGGGATTATTTCGCATTCGAGCTCGAATCAGAACACAAATCGTGATAAATAATTGCCAGTGGTTACCTTATTCATTGGCAAAACAACCTCAATAGAATGGGGTGTTTTGAGCACAGAATCATGAAAACCTGCTTGAAATCAACATTTTCTGCTTGACCTCGAATCAAAATAAAAAGTAGGGGTTAGTTATCGATAATAATTTACTCCTTCCTTAACAGAACACCAAGCTTCAAAATCCCCTCGCACACTGGGTTTTTGGATCCAGGCTGTCACCGATCCATGCTTCGAATTATGTGGATCTGGTTACGTATAATTGGTATGGAAGTGACAATTTTTCAAAGAATTTTCAACAGACTCAAGCATAATTTCCTCAAGTGAATGAAGCAGAGTACAGCACTGTATTGTTTAAGCTCCTTATTATTTTGCTTCGAGAATTTTCCTTGCTTCTGGATGTTGCAGTTATTTTAGGAAAGTGTTTGCTTTTTACTCAATAAATCTTCAAGACATTCGGAATGGATTCTACATTCCCTAAATGCCATATGTTGGGCCAGTGAAGGATGACAAAGGTGGATGAAATAAAACTGCGGCGGTGGCGGTCAGCGGTTAGGCGGCTGGATCCTCCTTAATAAAGTCCCAAAAACCCTTATTTATTTGTCTGCACACGTTTGCAGCCACACGCCCGGTCGAAATCCTTCACCTGTCTGGCACCCTCTCTCGTGACACCATACCAGAGCTGAAAATTAATCAACTCCAATGGAATTTTTGGGGCTTGAAGATAATATAAGTAGTCGTTTTAAAGCGCAAATTTTTAGATTCATGGGTTTACAGATTTTTTTGTCAATGTACTTCACACATAAAATTTATTTGGTCGATGACTGCAGGCAACGAGTGCCGTTGTATGATGACCTGTTTACTTAGAATCAGCATATACAAATAGCACTGTACAGTACTGTAAATTAAGTTCAAAATATTAGAAGTAAAAGGAATGCGAGGTAGTTATGGAATTTGAGACTCTTTGAGATACACGTAATGAATCAAATAGCCGGAGTCAGTATACTTTTGGCACTTTTGATGATCAGATCGAATTTAAGGATGAGTTTTGTTCATTTTTCCCATAAAAAAATTTCGAAATACAATTTTTCAATAACAATGGAAATATTGAAGAAGCAGTCAAATTGAATCCAAATTTTTTCCTTCAAAGACCATACTCTTAGCTTTGATTTAGAGTGAAAAGTGTTCATCCATAGTAGTTAGTTGCAATTAGTTAGTTGTGACAAGTTAGTTGCAATACCTCGGTTTCATGCCTATAATTTGACACGAATACCTTCCAGTACGTTAAGCACGGTTAGGGGAGCGTAAAAAATGAAACGCGCGAAAAAATTAACCAATCGTTAACCTTTTCTTCCCAACCTCGGGCAAAAGCTGGATAACACTAAAATTCCGTGAGGCTGCCATTTCACGCTGATCAATTTCATCAAAAGAGATTTTAATGTAAAAAGCATCAAAATAAATACCCAAAACGGTGTCCGACGGTGAATACTCGCACTCCAGCCACCCTGGAGATTCGTGTCGAGCAGGTTCGAATTTCTCCAGTTGCTCTTCATTGCCGATTGGACGCTTCCATGGCAAAGTCACTTCAGTCGTTGTCAGTTCTCTGGGGTCTGCTACAAAAAGGAAACATCACTTCATCAAATTTTATCAAAAATTCGCATGCCCCAGGGGTCAATTTTGTTGAATAAAACAGGTACCTTACCTTCTTGTGGGGAATATCCTGGTTCTCCATGAAGCGCTCCTGTAATTGCGAAAGTAATTCATTTTCAATGTCAGTCAGAGTGTGTTGAATGAAGGGAACAAATTTAAAACGTTCCGACCAGCATTAGATGAGAATACGAAAATCACGATTCCGGATTAAGTGTCACAGCTTTCAAACCGCGCAATACGCAAAGCAGTATGAAGAAAATATCACGCAAGTCACACACACGTAGAAGAGTAACTCAATGTTCAAAATATACAACTCGTAAGTCCACATTGAAGAAAAAAAACTGCGTTCTTGGAATACAGTTACCCAACTCGGTTCATTTTCCATGAAACGGGGATAAATTCTCTCCAATCAGTGCCGAACATGGCCTTCTGTGTTCGGAACATGCAGAATGGGCCTCGAGGAAGAGTGCATGCTGTTAGCATGCTCTTTCAGTACACTAACGTCGTGTTTTGTCAAGAGCACGAGTACATTATTTCGGACATGAAGATTCATGCGGGTAGCAAATGAAGAGGTACACTTGCAGAGAAACCACACTTGATGAATGGAACAAACACAAGAAACAACCTAAAAGTACGCTTTCAAACTTTTATTTCGATTCTGTTCTATTCGACGACCGGTGATATTCTGTGAACGACTCTTACTTTGAAATGAGATACATCAGAAGAGTAAAATCAGAAGTCAACCAGTGTCCTTCGGATGAATAGCAGATTTAATTTTTCGATCGTTCTTGAGGTAAGTTGCAGGTCTTGAAATCATTTTTACGCGATTCTAAACCGCACTCGGCTATGATTCACACATTTATTTTGAACAGCGATGTCGTCAAGATAAAAAAAACTGCATTGGTCGAAAAAATTGAAAAATTTCAGAGATTTTCACTCGTACAAATCCTCACACATATTAAGGAAATGATATAATATGCAACTTTCAAATGCAAGATGAACTACAGCATCTTCCATCCTGACTTCTGAAATTTGCTCAGAAACGTCAATTCCTTCGGATAATTATATTATCAGCGTTTATATTTCGAGGATGTTCTGCATAGATGGAGACTTCGATTAATTACAGTGAGACCCCCACATGCGAACACCTCGACCTGCGGACAATTCGACATAGGGACACTTATTTTCTCATAAAAAATGAATAAAAAAGGCCCGACATGAGGACATCGACTCGACATAGGGACATTTTGTTATAAAATTGGAAATACATTTCAGGCCAAATTACAAGAAAGAGATATTTCTAACCCTAAAATTGATGTACGAAAAGTTTTCGGGCATTTCTCTCACCAATTTACCATCCATTTAGCTAATTAAAAAAAATTACCTCCAGCAGAGAGGGACTTCCTTCTCTCTTTTTCACTTCAATATTATTTTTACAGAAAATTGGGAGACAATTTTTATTTTCATGGAATTATGGTGAGTATTTTGTACATGAAACACTGATTAAAAATCATACAATGTAAGTCTAAGGGAAAATTAGATTCGACTTAGGGACACTCTCGACGCACCAATTCTGTCCGCATCTCGGGGTCTCACTATATCATTCGGGTCGTGACGAGCATACGCCGCACCCGAGTTTTTCGGGTACGCTTTTTCGGTTTAAAAAGAAGTGACGCCTAAAATCGCGTAAAAATGTAAGGGGAAGGAGAGGATTATTTTCCCAGCCCATGAAGTCGGTAAATACCGGTCACCGAATAGACAGCACCGAACAACTAACTGAGCATCCTTTCCACACAACACCAGTAGGGCAAACGTGCTTGCGGTAAATGAACCTTCTGACGCGCTTGCTGGCAAGGCCGAGTCCGAATACCAGCGTTTATCGGGTAGCAGAAGAGTCGAATAATCGCTCGCCGTCGGCTCCATGACGTGACTTAGCACGGATTTGGGTCTCCGCAGGCGCCACCCGACCCCGACGGCTTTCTTGGCCTTCACGACAACCTTGCCCTTCCCGCCATTCGGTCCCTGCACGACGATCTTCGGCGTCGGTGGTGGGTGTCCCTTCGGCGGCGATGCCGCCACTGCTACTTCATTTCAACCGTTGCCCCGGGGGCATTGACACAGGGTTAGACAAATTTTCGTGGTCGTCCCGTAAGTACTCAATATTGTTCTATGATTTTTTCGCGTGAGAAATGGAGTCTCACGAGGAAAAATTGGATCACAAATTTATATTTTCCCCTCCCTGGCCGTGACTTCAGATTATTCGAAAACAACTTTTAATCACTTGAATGAACAAACAAAGAACATATTTCTGTACTGCTGAAAAAATATTCGACCACGAACTTTTGTTTAATCTCGTGTGCGAAATTGGGGCAAAGCTACAAATTTCGGCTGATGATTGAGCTATCTATTAAGAATTCCTTCCGAGGTTAAATCAGGATTATGCTTAAGAAGTTTTGCATGGAAAGTTATGCCCACTCAAACCTGTGAGCGATACTCTCTATATTGTGGTCAGGAAACACATGTTTGGAATGCTTTCTTACCGGGTGGATTTTGTGCGGTACCTGCTGGAAACCGTCTCTTTATCTAAGGCGGCAGGAGCAGAAGAAGACTAAGTACAAAGACTACGACTTGCCAATGAACTCGGCCACACGACGGCGGTGAGAAGGCGTCGTCGAGCAGGATTTTATCTGCAGACGAACACCGAGATATGTGTGAAATCCATATTCGATCGAATTAAAAGCTCGTTGTTTCCGATTTTGCATTCACAAACAATCGGGGTGCTTCTTAAAATTGATGGTGTCGAAGATTAGAATGCAGGTACTAGATCATGAGATGGTCCAAAATATGTAAATATACAACCAAATTATTTTTTCTCGATAATCGCATCGGAAATCTTTCCTCTACAGCGTACTCGATCGGAGTATCAAGCATGTTGCGAATTTAATATCCTGCATTAAAATATGACAATCCAAAGCTGAAGCACGTGGCAATATCTATATAGAACTCTCTTCTCTGAGCACATTTTTCTCTTGAAGTACGATAGTGTATGGTATTACTGAAAAATAATAGCTATACAAGTGCCGGTATAAATAGCTAATACTGTTTCTAGAATATTGTCCAGCAAGTAAAAGTTCGCGTGAGATTGCAAAGGGTGACTCTTGATATTGACGGTGACTCATGATCGCTCAAAAAATATACTGTGGAACTTGAAGAAACCGTGCCTCGATCAATGGTGCATGAAAAATAAAACAGAATGCAGCCCTGTAATGCGAGTCACGGAGGTATCAGGATCTAAAAGTGTATGTTTAAGATTATCATGTTTTCTCGGAATTTGATCCTGATGCTCCGAAACAACGTATTTACAAAATTCAGAGCTCATATTACTCTGTTTTCATAAACCGAGCATCACTGTATAGGTATATTGAATGTGCCGAAATCGTGATTCATTAAGAGGCAACTGAGCATCTTGCATTCCTCGAAATTTCAAGTGGAACTGCTTTACGTTTCTTTCGATGAATCCATTACCTAAGTCAACAAGTTTTATGATAATCTTAATTTACTGAGGTTCAAACGAAGGTTGCTGACATCAGATCGGGTTCTATAATTTGTTTTTCTTCGCAGTAACCCGCCGGACGAAGGAAGTGTAATTCCATCAGTTTTCTCTAACCTTTTTAGACCCACGGATCGGCAAATTTTCGTAAAATGTTCTGCGGACCGGCGGCGTTCCATAAACTTTTTTCAGACCGCCAGAAAATATTTCAAATACCTCCCACAAAGTCCTCCAAACAAAACTTTTATTTAAAAAAAAGTACAGAACCAGTGAAGAAGCTATAGTGCAATGTCTTGAAAAAATTAGAAAGCTGAGGTTTAAAAATTTTTTCCCAAAAGTAAAACTAGAAATAATTTATTTTAGTAGGTGAAAATTATTATTGAGTGCTGTTAAGGGAAAAGCCGACTTTTATTTTAATCGGATAATTTCGACCACCATTGTCTTTCCAAACCATAAATAACAATAAAAGACTTCATTTAAACTTCTGCTGCATTTACTGTATTATGCTGAAAATTTCTCGCGGACCGGCAAAAAACTTCTGCGGACCGGCGCCGGTTCGCGGACCACGGGTTCGAGAATACTGCTCTATATAGCTAAGCAGCTTCACCCATATCTTACTCACCAGTGGTCAACTGTTTCTCACTGCCACGCACTTGAGGTGCGAAAGACACAACCTTGCACTTGTCCCGTCCATTGGACGTGACAGCAGCGCCAATGCCTCCGTCGTCAGCACCGTCCGGCGAGTCATCGCCTCTCCGGTCCGGCTTGCGTCGCGCCTTCTCCGCAGCGTGCTCGCTGATCAGCCGCCGCATGTGTGCGTAGGTCTTGTGATGACTCATCCCTGGCATTTCCCTGTCAGATACAGCGTGTCTATTGTACCTCACGCCTCGATTGTGCTGAAAAAGAAGATCGTTTTCCTTCACGCACGCTCGAGAGGTCAACTGAGCGACAAGCTCAACTAAACGCTGCCTGACTAAGCAAGGATTGATTGACTGATAAGTATGATTTATTTGCTGCTTGTCAGCGTTCACAACGTTCAAAACAGTTTGCATGGAAGCTACAGTATTTAATTGAGTACCATGCATCGAGTGTGACGCACACCCCTGTTTTACATTGTTGAAAATGGAATTCTACACAATTATAATGGTAAAAAGAATCACATGAATTATTATAATAAGATAGGGCATTTTAAATGAATTTGAGCCGAGCAGAATTTCCTGTTCATTATTGTCACCTACAAAGCAATCACTTGTGGCTATAGCACACTTTTTTTTCTCATTTTTTGCCCGAGAAAAGTTATACCCGCATACCACGCGCGCCTCAATTTCATGCCTAGATTTTGCAGAACAAAATGTGCGCGTGGTGCTCGGGTAAATACGGTATTTAATTAACCAGCATCCCATCACTGAGAATTGTGTCCAACTGCACAACCAGTCAAGTTCGACTGAGTGTCCCCTAATGAACCTAAATGAGTGATTTGTTCAAAGATTTTCCTACCACAATTGAAGTATACCACCCGTTCCATGCCGCATTTTTAATTTATTTAATGCCTACAGGAGTTTTTTTACCAGTTCATGGATTCTTGAATTGCCATTGGTTGGCATTCTGACTCTAAGAGTAATCTAAAAATATAACATAGATTGCTGCTGACTTGACACAGAAAAAAAACGACACTGGTGGGTCAAGTGAGCTCAGTTCAGTTATGGTCTGAGTTCACCAAGTGCCACAGTCCAGTACGTGGCACTCAGTTATGGGGCAGCGCTCCTCCAAGTGGCGCTAAGTTGACTCGTCGACCAGTTGTCCCCAATGTTCAATTTAGTCGCGCTCAGCTGGTCAGTCACAGTTATTTCATTAACTTTTTTTTTTAATGCGAGAGGTGTTTTGCTCGAAGCGCATGCGTCCTCAGTCTGGATTATCTCTTCTCTGCTCTTGGGTTCATCATAACAGTGTTCACAATTTCATCGTTCAGCATTTATATTTTACTTTAAATATTTTAACTCAAAATATCTGAATTTGATAACCTTAAATTAAACCTTTTTCCGTTTACTTAAACGCCAACATCGATAATAAATAGAAGCAGATTTCGCCGATCACTGATCTAAAAAAGTGGGCTAATGTGCAGTAATTCTGATGAAGCTGAATTGATTAAAACATAACCTCATCAAGAGGAAAATGCAAATTGTTCAGAAATCAAGGCAATGCCTAAATTATAGGAAATACCATAGCTGATAAAAGTAAATTACAACACTCAAGTCTCAAGGTTCACGGCTGTCTGAATTCCTACGCATTTGTGTAAAAACCACAATAAGAAAACACCGCGCTAAAGCTAACTTTGTGTACGCATGTACCTGGTAGCAATTGTGTTCCATACTGGAATCCTCTACGTAATAGCGCTGAATAAGTATAAAAAAACGAACTAAGTTGATTCCCCTGATGATTTTTTTAGTGCGTCAGACTGTAGCACCTTTTTGGTTTGGAAAATGAGGCGGTTCGTAAAAATGTATCTTACTCGGCGGTAAGGGCGAAGCATAGACGCATCGAGCAGTCTATTGATTCTTGCGTCGTCCATGTCTCTTGTTGATGGAGAGTATTCCAGCTCTTTCATATCCAAGTTCCATTCCCCAGCTGCTTGCAGGTATGCAGTGCTGTGGAAAAGCGTGCACGATTAATGCATAATCAAGCAGGAAAGCACCGAAATAAAATTTCCAACACAGTGATAAGCCGCGCATCACATGTAAGAGCCCAGTTGAAGATATCCAATGCCTCGTGCTGTTCATCCACCGAAGTCCCGATATTAATTGCATTCCCCAACACCACAGCAGTCCCATTCAAATAATACCCAGTGGAGTCAATCCCAGACCGCGTCAATCACGCATTTCATGACCACGGAAACCTTCAGGGTTCGAAAGCGAATCTCTCTTTTTAAAAAATCACATTTCCGTCATCGAGCCGGAAATTTGTGCTCTTGAAATTCAAATTCAAGCGATGACCGATAGCAACCCTGAAAAAAAACTGGTGCACCATCACCCAAAAATCCCAAGCGAACCTTTTTCGCCAACTGTTTAGTAGACAGTCTGTCCCAAATTCAGTGCATATGGGCCGAAATTTTCTCGGCACGCTGTCGATTAATCCACCTCCTTCTTATGCAAGTAAGTAAGGAAGGGTAAATATCACTCAGAGGTGATTGAAGAATGGTGCATAGAAATTCCAAAGCCAAGTCAAGTTCGTCAAAAATGAAGCGTCGCAAGTTCAGTCTAGCTGGAACAAGTATCAACAATTACATAATGCCACTATGAGATCAGCAGAAAATAAACTAAAAAAGATACGAAGACTCAAAAATTTCATTCGTTTTAAAAAAGAACAATCATGAGTTTTGCGGGTACAGTTCTTGGGTCTGGGTTGAGATTGCAAACATGAACAGAGATATACTCTTGACGAAAATTGCATATTACTGTATTCTTCTGTGTTCACGAAAGGATTAAATAATTTTCTCTTCATATTTCAACACAAGATCATCATTAAAACGGAAAGCAATTTAGACGAGGATATCCGCATCAGCAACGCGGCTGAGCTTAATCTCTGAGTCAGTTAGCGAAACAATTTGATGTTGACAGAAAGGATCCCGGAAATTTACAAAGAAAAAACGTAATTGAAAGGAAAGTGGCGCTTTGGGGATGTCTCGGAAGAAGAGACGTTTTTGTCAGTATAAACTAGTAGGATACCCGCTCTGCATCGAAGCGACCAACAGCAAAACTAAGTCCAGCGCAAAAATATATTTAATTCCAGTTTAGGTTTCTCCAGCTCCCCTTGCGTAATATGCAGCATTATTCTGCGCATTGCCGATCTTATTCGATGTTCTTGAAAATCTTAGTAGAGAGACTTCATCTCTAACCGATAACGAAGAGTGGATTGAAGAGTGGCGCAGAAAATTTTCCAAGTCAGGTCAAGATCGTCAAAAATTACGTAGGGAAACGCAGGAAATATGCGTCGCTTCGATGCACATCGGATTTCCCCGAGTCAGTGTCGCGACGGAGAAGCGTGGTCAAGTCAAGTCTAGGAAAAGAGGAATTCCGAGAAACTGGGTCAGAGTCGGGTACCAGTTCTGCGTATTCGTCAACGGTGCAGCGCCCGGGCCCGTTGCCAGGGCCGACGGCACAGCGAGAAGCGCGAAGCTCGGTGCGGAAGACTTGGCCCCCAAGCTGCCGCTGACACGCCTGCGCGTGCTGCCGCCACTACTCGTGCTTGCGAAAGGCAGGTCAGCGTCCACGTCGGTGTCGGTGTCGTTGTGGCGCTCAGGACGGCGCCAGTGCGCCGTTGCTTGAGTCGAGTACGGCGGCGGCAGCGAGTCCGGCGACGCCCCTCGAAGTGCAAATTTATTGACAAGCGGCGCGGGATACTGATACCTCGTTTGCGCCACGGCGCCACGAGGGTCGATAACAACGGGCGACGACCCGCCGCACCCGGCCACGCTGTCGCGCATCAAGTGCCGGAACTTCTCCTTGCCCAGCGCTGCTGTTGCTCCCGAGTCGAGCAGCAGACCGCCCAGAGACGTCGTTGACGAGTTAATCTGCACTCCCAGCTGCCCAGTCAGTGACGACGACCGACGTCGTCCCCATGCAAGTCCGCTTACACTTGTACGAGTACGCATCAGGAAAATCAGCACCGTCTCTACCAAGCTGTGTTGCCCTTCAGAGGACTCAACGCCCTTCCGGGAACTCGCCGGTTTGACCGCTCAGCCCCTTTCCTCGCCGCCCACTTTCACAACCTGATCTACGATGTTTCTATTTTTAATTACTCTAATTTACTCAGTTCACCTTGCGTAAACACGCAGTTGCTCTTTGTTAAGAAAAAAGAAAAAAAAAAACCTTCAATCTTGGGTTCCTCAAGAGCTCCGTCTGGTATTATCTTAAAAATTTTGTACAAATATCCAAGCTTTTTTTATCATATTGATAAAGTGCGTCCATTTTTTCGAAGATAGAGTTGGTTTTACTGCATTCACATGTAAGAAAGCCACTTGCCTGGAAAATTGTCATTCACTCGAATAATATAAATTGAATTTCATCACAAGTTGTAAAATCGTTTGATTTAATTTTTATCTCATACTGAAAATTAAATGAGAGAACTTGGTCAAGACAAGCGCATTAATTTAACTTGCGAACTGATACTGTACTTGCGCAAGAATTTAAAATTAAACTTACGCTGACTTATTTATGGCATGAATTCTTCCGAGAGCGGTGCGTGATGTACATTACGTAAGATTTTCTGGAGCTCTTCTGGATAAAATTATCCATACTTTCATATTTTAAAATTTGTAGTTCAATTATCAGCGAGCTAGCTTTGAAATCGTCGCAAAGCCGACCGTTTCGTGAGCGATAAAGCAAAGAAAAAATTTTCTGAAGATTGGAGGATGCAAGTTCTTGAGCGGACTGACGAGCGAATTCCAAGGGGGATTAAGATATCCTCTGAAGAGCATCACGGCCAGCAACCTCTGATCAAACTACCGTTCCACAAATCTACGTCGTCTCCAACAAACCCAGATCAACTAGTTTCTGTACCAATCAATGAACTTGTTCTCGTTAACGCGATTTGCTATGGTAAGAAATCGCTTCCAAACGCCCACCTCTTCAAAGTTGAGTCAATATTTAAGAGCAAGTACCTGGGATGCACATGCTTGAACATGTTGGCCATTGTTTGAATGTCCGCCGTGGACGCTGTGGCGTTCAGCTCGGCGTAGCTTTTCGCGTCCCGCATCTTCAGTTTTGAAAAGGTGTCGAGGATTTTTGGTTCAGCGACGTGACGTTCGCGTAGCAGCGCAGGACGAATATATTTTTGATCGTAGTATTTGAATCTGTGAGGAAGAGCAGATATATAAGAAAATGAAATTTATCCCCGTTTAAGAAAAATCAGTTTTTTTTCAGATATGTGATCCTTTATTTATTTTTTATTTTTTCAAACTGAAGTATTTCCCAGGGATTTTCGCCTCGTAGACCGGGATTTCCCGGAAAAATCCTTCACGGTTTTTTTGCGTAAAAAACCCGTAGGATCAAAAAAGAGAGTGCAAAATGAAAGCTTCAAAAATATATACGGCGCAACAAAAATCATACGAACTAAATTATTGTTTCCGAACTTTCATCGAGTGCATTTTACTGCGTACTATTGAAGTCCCGAAACTTTATTTGCTTTTACTATCATGGTGACAGGAAGAATCCTTGAGATTAAAATCTAAAATAAAATTTCCATCAATTTAGTCGAAATATACTTGTAATTTAGATTCCGGAAAGGGACATAATTCGTATAAAGCACTATTTCTACGCAAAATTTGCATTAAATCAAGTACTTCGAAATAATTTTAGAGTTGTCTCAAGCCACATTTCGCTTGGATGTAGCTGTAAGATTTCGTTCCCGCAGGATTTCCTCTCAGAACGATAGTACCTTGAGTACCTTGTATATGAGGGATCCTGTCAGGTGCTTTTCAAAACTCTTCTAACGAAAAATTTGACTTCGGATTAAATGGCAAATAAAACACAAAAGGTATTTCAAAAGAGGAGTGTAAAGCATTTAAACGTGACGGAAACTTTTAAAAGTTTGATTCAAAGTGCATGTTGTGCGTAAAATGCGGATCAGGTAATCCAATTTGAAGTCGTAGGTGGCACTTCCAAGAAGCACCGAGAAGCCTGTGCTGTCTATTGAAAGGAGTACAATCCAGAAAACATGTCGAGGGCCCCTGCTGTTTTAATAATTAAATAGATCCCTGTTGTTCTCTCTCTTGCGGCTTTCTCACTGTACGAATATTCCTCGATATTCTTCGAATGGGACAAGAATTTGGTTATACAGTAGTTACTCACTTTTCACGCCAGTAATAATTTCCCGTGTGCCCGATCAGTTCTTCTATCCCGGCCATCATGTGATCAATCATCTAAGAACGAATAAAAACACAGGAAAATATTCAATTTTAGCAGTAAAAATAGAGAATAATGTCGCTTACCCGTTCATGGACTCGTTCGTTCATCGTTTTCTTTCGCTTCTCCGCTCGCCGAACTCCAAGGATTTGCACCAAGGGCTTGATCGTAATTCCCTAATCAAAGAGAAGAAGAAAAACACACGTACTACGCATCCTCTCTGGCTTCTTTTTTTTTTAGACGAAATAGCAAAATGATGACCCCTCACCTGCACAAACACAGTGAAGTAGATCACGGCGATGGTGGTTGTCACAAACATGTGTTTTTGCTTGACATGGTTCTCGTCTATGAGAAGGACCAAAGCAAACGCCACTGCTCCGCGCAATCCTCCGTAAGCCATCACGAACTTTTCCACTCTCTCCAGTTTGTGTAAACGGAAGCGGTTCGCTATGGCCGTCAATAAAACAACACCTGCACGACGAAAGGGGAAACATAATCAAGAACATTGTATGTACACAGTGATGAAATTTGCTTTTCTCAATATTGGATTCGTGGAACGAATTTCGTGCATTTACTACAAGTCTACCAGCCACATGTTTGCACAACCAGCATGCAAAATTGCTTTCAGATCTTGAAGTGCGATTTTTTAAATCAAACGTCAGCTTCAGATTTTTTTTTTAATCGCGCCTACGATTCTGCGGCAGAACAATAGCTCATTTTTTTAGAGCAATGCAGTTGTACCTCGATTACCCAGCTGCCTTAGATTAACCAACGATCAAGAGGAAACAAAGCTGCACCTATATTTTTCAATTCCAGTCTTTTTTGCGCAATAGATCGACTCGACATAACGTACATGGGCATGATTTTGAAATCGCATGCGAAAAAAACGTGATGCCGAACAAATAATCCTGACGGATAGCACAGCAATAAGTTCATAATTTCATTTGAGAAATGCAATCATTTTCAGTATTTGCATTGATGCCGGCAAATCATGTCAGTTCCTCATTAGCCATTGTTTCCTCCCTTCTGGCGTAGCTTTCCGTATCTTCTTTGGATGTTTCTGTTCGATTGTTCAAGTCAATCTACTTCATAAAGCTGGATAGCTACATCAGCAATCAAATCCGCCGATCCATTAACCTATCCTTTAAAAAATGGCTACATTATTGTATGAACGTGGGAACAAGAAGCAGGGAAAGTGTATGGCGGCCTTCGGATCTTCTAGAATCTAGATTATCTAGAATGAATTCATCTCCCCGACCTTCACGTACACTATCGTCTAAGCAATCATGAAGTCCCACGAGGCTCATTGTTGACTCTCGTATCTTTCCAAGCATGACTTCGCGCTCTCTTTGTTGTCATTGATGGAACGCACGACGGTGTGAGCAAGACTTATGATTATTTCTGCGTGAGAGCGCGCGTCATTTCTTGCAATCGAATGTCAGGAGTTGGTAGCCTCGACAGCTTCTGGAACTGGCAAATCAATGCAAGGATTCTAAATTTTCTGAGCGTGGTTCCATCTTCTATCTTCTCGGGAAGGCCGTTTGAAATATACGGAAAAGAAAAAAGCATTGCCTTTACAGAAACAGTTTCACCAAGATCAGCAGTATTAAAAAGCTTCGTTATCATGTTCGCATTAATTTGCGGGTTTATATAAAAAATATTCACTGCATTTCATTGAAAATACTCGTCTGACAGCAGTGATACTTTTCCGAGGCAATGCTGATCAATAGAAGACATTTTAACTTTTTAATACTGCATTGGATTTAAAAAGGTAACTTTTTGAATTAATGTTAAAATTTTATTTTGCGAGAATTGAATTGGATGAAAACGCTTCTGGAGGCTATTTTGATCGAGGAGATCAGATGAGGACTCAATTGTTTTCCAGATCAAGAAGCGTGGGAACAATGCTCGATATCAATAGGTACTTTCCCGAGGAGCAATTCCCGCGATACCACAGACCAAAGAAGGTGAGGTGGGCAGTCAAACAAGTTTGTCTCCAGCTGAACGCAGCCGAGTCCTTTTTTTCTCTCCGAAAGTTTCAAATATTTTATTACATGCCCTTTTTGAAAGTAGGAATAGCTTTGATTTACGCCGTCAGAAATTCCCTCACGTGAAAAAAGAAGGAAATGCAATGTTTTGAAATGGGATCCAACAAAATACTGTACATGCATCAAGCATTATGAAAATGTTTTTTTTCCTAGATTTGGCGGACATTTTTACTGCCCACCTTCAAATTTCAAACTTAATTTCATTTTCTTTCCGTGTTGATATCAATACATTTGGAACAGAGCTGAAATACCAAGCTGAAAAATGACGAAGTCCAAAAAATAGCAAACAAAATCGGGAGTCGGATTTGTGCACAATACCCAGGGAAAGTTGTGGTCTCGATCTGCATGTGCTCGAGGCTACTTTGCTACGCAGCTAGAATGCCAGTTTGAAATCTGGTAAATATGTCACAAAAGCGAAATATCGTCAAAGTAATTTATGAAATCGTAAAACATTGCCACGCAGTCCTGTTTGCCGCTTCAGCGGAAAAAAATTTAAATTGCTGATGAAGTCGGTCGGGTATTCTGATATCTTTCGCTTCACGGAATCACTCAAAAAGAATATGAGAGAAATCGTCTTCTCTATAACATAGTAGGAACTCTTTTCATAAATTCTAAATGTCTAGTAAAAATGCACGAAGTACTTTACTTGAAGTACCGTTATGTAGCGGTTAGATGCAAATGCGCAGACGATTAATTTCTAAAAGACCGCGAAGGTCGAGATGAGTTTCTTTGTTCACAAGTATCGCAACATAAATAATGGGAATCAATCCGAAATTTATCTGCGGAGAGATGAAAGTAATTAAGAAAAGTACGGAACTGCGAGAGAATTCGAAGTGCCGGGAATTGCCTCTTGCTGACCGTAGGAATTTATGCAGACAATTGGAAACTCACCCAGGGCTCGGTACACCGTGCAGAACAGCAGCGTGAAAATCACGAACCATGTGTCCCAAACGTGCTCGTCATGAACGGTAGAAACGCCCAGCAACATGAAAATGATGGTCTCACTGCTGCTGCTGAGCATTTTCATTGTGTACTTCAGCGTTGTCTGCGATTTCTGCGACACATTCGCCACCACATAATTCTTCATCGTGATGCCGCAGAACGTCGTCCTGATGTTCAACAAACCGCGATGAATTCGCCTCAGTGATTCCAATAAATTTTCTCGGCGGAATACTTACGACAATATCCCAGACAAATGGAATATCTCGGCATTCAGGTACGCCAGATACGCCATCACGAATACGAAGACGGGCTCGATGACACGAGCGTGCTCAGTGAACCGGGTGATGAACCCGGTCAGGAATCCCCATATGACACCAATTATTGTACCCCCGAGGGAAATCACGAAGAAAGAAGCGATTCCCTTCAGAATATCCGTGAAATGGAGGTTATTCTCTCCAATCACAGTGTAAGCCTCGAACATGTGATACAGCACCTTGGAAAAACGAAGACCTACATTTCAAACCCTTTCTTTTTGCAAAAAGTATCGCCCGAAAAATGATTGTCCTGGTTTCCGCACTGGTATTGACTTCCCGAATTTTTATACGTAAAGATTTATTCCGAAGCGACACAGTTTCTTTGAAGAAATTCTAGTTTTACAAAAAACACACCACTCCCAGGGGAAAAATTGATTGAAGGGATTTCTGGTTTCGTGCGGAAAACAGCATTTATATGGAAACTTAGGAAATCCAAAATATTCATGCTACATCACTGAATCATCAGGTAAAAGTATAATACAGTACTTTATTCATTTTTCACGGAAAAAATTCCGGCTAATTCTAAAGTATCTAAAACACGCAAGATAAATTAGGGCAGCCATCCTCAAATCCATTTCCTATTCAGGCAACATCCAAGCCTGACTTTACTTTACGAAGTATTGGATGTATGGTGATGATTTTGTAACTTCCTGTGACAGATGGATGTTACTGAAAGTAGAAAAATTATTCAAATATTGTGTACGTACAGAAACACTAAACATGGAAAACGTTCGTAAAAGAAATGATGGTAAAGATTTGTTTTTTATAACTCTGCGAGAAAAATATATTGTACCTCGTAATTGCGGTTCCAGTTTTTACCAGCAAGACCATGAATTGACGATCAACAAAGGCAGCTTCTGGTTTACATTAAGTGGAGAATGCCTTGCAATTGCAGCATGGTTTACTCCGAAAAATGCATTGCAGACCATTCTTACCCATCATTTTTTTCTGTTTTCGAGAAATACATGCACATCGATCCTTCCTAAAGTGTTCGGCGTTATAATGAGCGGGGTTTCCTTGTAATGCACAAATGATGCTTTGCTGACGTCACGCGATGGCATGGCAATCAAAAGTTCAAAACGTACCACAGTGACAGCGTCGTTCAGCAACGATTCCCCGAAAACGACAATGTTGAGGACTTCGTTGACGGACAGCTCATCAAAAAGGGCAAGTACAGCGACGGGGTCGACGGCAGACACCAAGGAACCGAAAAGCAGAGCAGGCAGTAACGGGACTTCCTCGAAAATTCCAGTCGTGCCCACGAGGTACAATGAGCCACCTGGAATGAGCGCGCAGGTATTTGTAGTTTATCCAGACGCAAGATAAATCTTGCAATTAAAATGTCTGGAGTCAGAACCGTAGTTCGAAGTCCTTTTTTTTTTGCACAAAAATCTCATCAGACTATTTTCGACGTGACGTAAAAAGCAAAGAACAGCAATACATGACAAAGTACCAAAGGTTCTCCAATAAACCCAGCGAAGCAAGCCTCGCATCTTATCATATCTTCGAACGATTTTTTCCGACTCCCGTGCGGAGAACTAACATTAATATAGTATTATATAGAATAGACCCTCGTTAACGAGATGATGCAAAAAATCCCACTCCCTCCACAAACCAATTATGACATTATTGCAATGTACAGTAGTAAAATAGTAGAAGTCCCGTGAAACTGCGCTTCGATTAACCCTTGCCTTCTATCAGCCGAGCCTAATTTTATTGTCTCTTCATTTCTCTCTGATGGACGCATTCCTCGTAGAATTCTTCAAAATTAAATCGGTAAAGATTTGAATTGGATTTTCAAATTATTGAACCCTCGTATTTTTCATTAGTGAATTTATTTGATTATCTGGGATAGGCTAATTCACCCGGCATTTAGATCAGAAAAACGAAGTTAAACTGAATTCCTTGTACAGCAATGCATACGGCATAAGCATTCCACACTTCTTTTGATGATTATATAACATCGCTCCTCCTTTCGGAGTTTCAGAAGAAATAAAAATTCTAAACGAATTCAATTTCCTTTAGAAGCTTCAGTCCATAGCATTGACAATAATCCCATCAGACTATTTTCCCATCGACTGAATCGATAATGAAAATCCGAAATGTAGACAATGAAATCTAACAAAGGATAGCTTGATACGGTCAAATAAAAAAATCCTATTCCCAGATCATATTAGGTAAGCCGTGGTCTAGTGCATAGTCTGCAAATCCTTTTGATTCACGAAGAATGTTTAAAAATTGCATTTATTTCTTGGTGCCTCGTCGCCACACACTTTTTCTTTCACGTCATGTAATCTGGATGCAAATGTTGGACCTTTTTTTCTCACCTTTGAGCTATATGCTGATTCTAGTCGATAGAACATTTTTGGGGACACTAATTCTCTAAATTTACTTCCATTCCATTTGTGTTTCCCAAACAGCTGAGGAATTTCTGGGGGAGCGAACGCGGAGAACTAAATTACGAACTGAAATGGTCCAGAGAATAAAAATGTTACATTAAATACATTTTATTCAAAGAAAGTGCTGATACTGGAAACACGCCGAGTACCAATGATTCTTTATTCTCTGATACGTGAGAGAAGTCAGTGCCGACAGGTCTGTCCGTGTTCTTCGCGAGGCAGGGAGGCCATGACGAAGAATAATCACTCACCGACGGCCATGGAATTGAAGATCGTGCCAACCACAGCCATGAGAAGAATAGTCCCCAGATGATCGAAGAAAAGTCGATTGGGCATGAAATACCCCGCATCTAATATAATGGGCGGAAGCATGTAGAACAGGAAGACATCCGGCGTCAGCATCGTTCCATTGGCGGCGTCTGTGTAGTAGAGCAGCAGCCCGACCACGACCCCGACAACGATCAGCAGACATGATTCAGGAAAAATCTTCGACAGGTACTCCGTCATGTGAAAGCCTGAAAGGAAAAACAAAACAAGATCCAAGCTGATCAGTCTCTGATACGAAGCTACCTTTTGTCCACACAATGCGCAATAAAACGATCGGGCAACTATGAGGCTTCCATTCTTCATTTTTCTACCGGGAGGCTCGACGAAGGTTATCAAAAACTACGTGTCGAATATTCGGATGCATGTGAAAATCATGACGTGGTGGTGATGTCAAGCAATCAACCGTTATATTGCGCATGGACATCACGAACATCGATGGTCGCTCATTTTTCATGCCTTCGGCGAATCTCAAATTCAGCCTATCCCACGAGCTCGGGGAACAATAAGCTGGAATGGTCAAATTCGGGTATCCGGGAAGATAATTTGCGTATGCGTGTCGCGGAATCTTCCTCCCCGGCATTCGAATCCCATCAGCCGAGCTGCACTATTATTTAGCATAGCGTGCTAGTCACTGTCAAGACAGCGAACATTCTCGAACACGTGGACGCGTTGAATCATTCTCATCTCATATGGGAAATCCGAGCGGGGAAACGGGAGGACAGTCAAGTGCTACATATGAGGTGCCCGAGGTCCTGTGCCATGGATTCCATTCATGTTTTGTGTCGAGAGAATAATGATGGAAGCTGTCCATTGTACAGTATGACGGATTCGAGTCCTCGTCCGTCATGTTCGTGAATGACGTAAGCAAGGTCTTATGCGAACTATAATGAGAAGCCGTCCCAAATCCACAAAACCGCTAATATTATTTCTGGTCTTAATAGCTCGTTTTGCGGAGAAGTACACCAGATTTTCAACACTACTCGAATCTCAATGGCATGAACGTTTTGAATACAGGAAGGTTTTTCGCAAATGTCAGCATTTTAACTCGATTTTTCCATAGCCTGCTGTGGATGTCTTTGTCGCGATCAAACGAGACAACCAGCAATTGAATCAACAGCAAAATTCGTTTCAAAATGAGGATTGATCCTTGAAAAGTTGTAGGTTTACACGCTGTGACATAAACAATATTTCAGGACGATGATGCCATCAATCAAAGAGTAAACGCATGCTGCATCAACGCATTCATTCGGAAGTACTCTCCATCATTAAAAAAACACTTTACTGCGACAATAACTTTCTCGACCATTCTGCGTTTTTTTTTAAATCATGCCATGTGATACGAGAAACAGTCACGTTTTATTCGAAATGACTGGTAGAGATTGCATCGTCGATTATAAAATACTGTATGTGTATATACAATATATTCAGAAAATTCACAGTGTATGATTTGCACAAATATTGCCTACACTACCGAAGTTTCTCGCCCAAAAGCGGTGAGAACAATGAAAATTAGTTCACACAAGGAAAAAAGCCTGGTTGAACTCAGCGCAAGTTGCCAAGAGGTTACACACGCTGATAGATTTAAGCATTGCTTCATCAAAGAGCTAATCAATTGGCAGTTGCCTAATGAACTGTGATTGATTCACTTCCTGGAAACGCTTTCTCAAGAAGCCATGGAATTGATTGGTAGCATTCTTGCTGATGATTTCGCCAACTTGAAGCACCGGTCTTGAAACGCCTTGTGGTTGCCCGACCTTCCAGTATCCCAGTATAGGCCACAACGCTCAAGTGAAGCTTGATTTCCAGCGCATACGTTTCTCAACTTCCTTTTCGTTCCGGTCAAAGCTGCGTTCTATGATGACGTTCGACTTTGTTGGTACTGATCAGGAAATTCCAACGCCTTCCATTCAATCATGGATAATTTCGATCAACGCGATAACTCATGCATAACGCTTTTTCTATGGCGGGATTAGATTATTCAGAATGTGGACGCCCGAAGATGTGAGCTGTCGAAATTTTCAAGACACGTATTTATTCCTCCAGATTCTAAAAGTTTTTTAAAACGGTTCAGAATACTAAAGAGGAAACATACGGATTTAAACCAGTAGAGTGGATGCTATTACATCACGAATCTTCTGAGTAACAGTGTGACATTTCAGGCCTGATAGCGGAGGGGGAGCTTGAAAGACACTTTTTACAATGCTTTAATAAGTTTTGTACTACCTAGCATAAAGTGACGATGTTATAAAAAAAATAGTACCAAGCATCAGAAAGTGGGCATAATGGTAAGTCATGTTGATGAATGTCCGCAATCAGCAAACCCGTTATGGTCTAACATTTATATAATTCATGATCACAGCACAAAAAAGATGGTAGCGGTGAGGAGCGACTCGAAAGCTTTTCTTCGATTTACTCCAAATATGCATTAAAATTGTGTTGACACAGGCATGGGTTTCGAATTTTTAAATAAACCAGAAAACCGGATGATATTTCGAGACCGATGCAACATTACTGGGTTTAGCGGATTCAATTTCGAAAAGTAAAACGTTACGAGTAAACTGTGCATACTTTTAACGTTGGATTAAAATAAAAGTGCTAAAACGATGCAGAGTCGCTCAATTTTTGTAAGAGGCGAAACGAGGACACGTACCGCATCAAACATTCGTCATGCGGCAGAAAAAGGCCATTGAACACAAACCATCAATCTCTCGCGGAGGTATAAATTCAAGGTTTCAAAAACGGTTCGCAACTTCACGGTTCTGGAAATTTTCCCGACAAGTGTTCAAGGAAGCAATGGTATCTGCACATATGCGCTTCTCGTCTAAATCTGCACTTGTATCCGCATTTTCTTCTCATCCACCGACCAGTTCACGGAACATTTTTTTCAGTTTCCATTTTCTTCTAGAACAATTATACTGTACTTGTTTATTGTTCAGAATCAAATCTAGTAGCACTTCAATTATTCTGGCAAAGGGATAGCTATTAGGTGCTTTAATCCGAGGAATCGAATTTCACGGATATTCGAAAATTAAAACCTTGTACTCATGCAAGAGGAGAAAACGATTTCCAGAATGACCAACCGCAATGCAACCGACATGCCCGAACTTTCGAAAGGCAATAGCGTGGATAATTAGCCAATTATCAGGCGTATAAAATCCCCCTAGCTTCCTCCGACTGAATCCAGATTCATTTTGGGAAATTGAGCAAATCGATAATCATTATCCTGTAATGCATTCATTGAATCTTTCGGTCCTAATAATAACTGGTTGTTGCTACATGGCTTTAGTTGCTTTCTGTTATTTTGGCTCTTATCGTACTACAATAGCTGAAATATAAGATATTCTATGACTGATTGAATGCAAGTCTTTCTTGTCTTAACGTCTGACAAGATAACCTATTTTGGCACACTTTCAAAGTCCAGCTGATTTTCATGACGTGCATTAAATCAAAACCAGAGCAACAGATCGCAGCTATAACAAGACTAGACAGAAACATCCAATTATTTTTTAGGAAGACTCGGCAACAGTTTTCACATGAAATAGTAAATCGTTTTTATTTAAAGGCGATTTGAGGGACAATAGCACCAGATGATTTCATGAAAAAATAGCCGTATTCGCCTGTTGATTTTTGCGAGAATCTAGGAAAATGTTCAGCGTTATTATCAAGAACTTCCAGCAGATAGAAGTTGAGAATGTCCATTAAAATGCCCGGAGCCGGCGACTTCCTTGATAGACGCGAGTTTAATTGATGTCGAGGGTGGGCGATGACCGGCATGGTCTCGGATCCGGAGGCGATTGCCGGTATATTGCATCTCATCGTGATTTCCTCTCAATTAATGCGAGCAAAGAGGTAGGGAAAGGTCAACGTAAATGTGTGAAGATATCCAATCCGCGTCTGAAGAGTCTGTTTGGTCCTGCGCCATCGAAATACCCTTCACGATTCGGTTCCCCCGAGGTCAACCTCGAGCGGAAACGCGCAAATAACCGACTTCTGGTTCAGAAGCAGAACGTCGAAAAAATAAACTCATGAAGGATTAAATAATAAATTTTTCGAAAAGAACAGTGTAGCGGGAAGCGGTGCAATGAGTGTTGTCAACCATCGGTCGCGATTTTCAGTTCCAGAGTCTATGTACTCAATTAAACTAAAACACAGGAAATAAAAGGCCAACTGACATTTTATCCACATGATTCATATTTAGTCCTTCGTCGTGAAGTATAAAAAAAAACCTCAATCCGCCTCGGAACTGAAATTCCACACGCAGGTACTTCACAATTTGCTCTGGTAGGAATTTCAGTATTTTTGCTACAGTAATGAGGAATAAATCTGATTTATGTTCTGTTCCCCGAAGGGTACGATGTCAACTTTGCTGAAAGTGCTTATTTTGAAATGCTCTATGGATTTGAAAATGACCGTCGGAATTTCTCGAGGGAAGATAACATTCTGAGAGAAGACCTACGCTTCAATTGGAATGCAGTATACATAAACTAAACTCGTTGAAAGGCATGCAAATGCATAATGAAAAAAAAAACAGCCTGTTTTTGCATTATGTACGAACTGCTTCCTCTGATTGCAATAACGCTGTAGAGTGCAATTTAAAAATGTTCAACCATGATCTGTTCAGGAAAGGCCATGAACTCAGAACAGATCCTCGGCCGGCTCATTTCAAGCGCGTCCGCGAAGTGATGGAGTCCTCAAGAATTTCCGCCTCCCAGGAAGCCCGGACTGTTGACTCCATAATCTGCTGTTTCACTTCCTTCACGCTCTAGTAAACATAAGCGTATCCCAAGCGACATTGAAAGTTCCGACCAAAAAGAAAAAACTGGCACAAGCACGATCCAGTCCACGCCTATGATAGCTGCGGTGCTTTTTGTTTTGTTTTGTTTTTACAAATGAGATACGGAACTCAGTGGACCGCAGGCGAGTCAAAATTGCTGCGGACTGCAATCGACACAAAGATCACGCGACGCGTCAAACAGCCGAACAGACTCGTCTTCGAAATCGGGGAAGTTGAAGGGTTAACCGCCGGGCTTTCGTCTCATTCAAGGCTCTCTCTCTCGTTGTTTGCGCTGGAGTATCAATCATTGCGGCATGTCGGGTCAGCGGTTGGTGTGATGAAATCATCAAGGACCAGCGAAAGAGTACAGCATTGTATTCTCGGTTTACACCACTTGGTTTATGTTAGCACCGATACGCAATGAATTTTTGGTCGAAAACAGCATACAACGTACAGCATTGCATTTAATGAACGAATATACCTCCTCATTCGAACTCACACGATCGAAAATTGAAAACTTCGCAGCAGA